AACGTGTTTTCACTATGTGAAAGAGGTGAACTACCTTATGTAAGAACCCCTGACGAGTGTATAGGTTATCAACTATTTTTAGTGCCAGCGGTTTTCCAGTTATAATTAAATTTCAACCTGCAACCTGCAACCTGCGACCTGCGAAATATACCTGCCGACTTCCAGTGCTCTTCCTCATAATATTGGTATTTGTACGACTTCACTGTTTTGCACTTTTCTGTCTACACTCATTTTCTGTCTTGTTTTTGTATGTCTCATTACGAGCAATATCCACATTGCCAGCAATCGCTTTCACGCTGAGCTATTTGGTGTATTTAGACCTATTCACAAAGGAAATCACAAGCAGCCCAATCTCAGTGTGAGAGTCGAGTGATGTAAACAACAAGGCTGCCAATTGAGGAATTCAAGAAGATAATTGCATGCAAAAGTTCTCAACAACAAAGCCATTCCTTATTGCCATGGTGTGTTTCTTGCTTCCTTTATAGCTATTTTCCTGACCTAATGGGATTTAAGCGATTTTTTTGCTTCCTGGGTTCGTAAATAAAAGAACATTAGGCTGAGTACTTGTTTCGTTTAAGCCCACCCAAAATTTCCCCAGCCAAAAATCCACCGTACAATCCAATTACAGTGGTTGAACTTTCATTTCAACTCTGGAGCCACGCAATAGTAGCCTTGCGAGCAACGTCAGGAAAAGAACATGATGAAAGATCATGTCACATTTACAACGGTTGAAATTGGCAAACGATTCATCGGGCATTACCAGACCGAGACGGAAGTTTGTCATCAAGACCCTGGGTCCCATCAGGTTGAAATCGCGCCACTAAGTGTTTGCAAGCTCGGAAGAATCTCCCGAAAAAAAAAAATCAGTGCTTTTGTTTTGTTTTCAGCAACGGTAGTTGTCTTGTGGTGGGTGGGTTCACAAGGATCCCTTCTATCTTTTAAGCGGTGTACTGGGAAACAAACTGATGGCTGACAGAGTTGAAATGAAAGTTTAACCATACTAATTGGATTGCATGGCGAAATGTTGGTCACTGGGAAAATACCATGTGCATTGGTATGGAGCCAATGATGGCAAATGATTGCTCATAAGGGTTTGCTGCCACTGGCATTAAATCTTTTTTGATATTATGCTTTCAGAGGTGAGCTTTCTTTTGTTTTCTATTTGTCAACTGCAAACGTATCAGACCATGCCAAGCAAACTAACCTGAGGGAAAGCAAATAGTGCTTCTTGAGAGTTACTGAGAATTCTCTTGTATCATTAATCCATAAAGCATCAAAACTACATGTGACACTCAAAACTACTGGTTTAAGCAGCCAAAAGGGTATCAGCAAGGGAGGTTAGACAGCAACCCTAAAACACAGAAACTGGAAACTGAAATCCAGAACCGGAAATCCAGAATCCGGAAACTGGAATCCGGAATCCACAAATCAAAGAAAATAAGTTCTTCACATATGCGAAAATTATTTTGCATAGCTTTTGCCTGTAAGAATTGAGAGGCCAAGTAAAAAGGACCTCAAACTTGACCTTTTTTGAAACAAGGATTCCCAGTCTGCCGTACAACCATAATTTCTAGCAAAGGCTATGATTTTGAGAATCTAAATAATGTGCAAAATAACAACAAAATATTTTTCCCTATATCTGTTTATTAGACATTGCTGGAGTGAATTATTTCTATTGTCATTCTGGATTCCGGATTCTGGTTTTCGGTTCCTGATTCCGGTTTCCAGATTCCATGTTTTAGGGTTGCCCGAGGCTAGATCAAAATGAATGTACCCATGGGCACCCTATCATAACTATCCCATATGCCTCAGAAAACAAATATTTTTTTCTCGAGGCTTTTTAGGATGTTTAAGTGGATTTTGACCTGAATTATAGCAGCGTAATATTCTGAGAAAAGCAAAATGAACTAAAATGCCACAGGAAGGCATGTTTTGGCATTAGAGAGGTTCAATGGCTTTCAGAATCTTATCGAGATATCATTGTACAACAAATTTTCTAGTCTTTTATGAAAGTGATTTGGCGGAACTTCCACAATGATACTTTGCATTTTGATTTGTCGAGTGCCCCTGGCTACAGAACTTGGCATATTTTAGTCTAGATTATAATAGCTTTGTAAAGGAATTTCCTTTGCCAATTCAATGTATTCACTTGTTTCAGGCCTACTCTGATCTGGGACCTTAAGTCGCCATAACTTAAGGTGACTTTGGGCGATTTAAGGCCTTAAGCAAAATTGGCCAAAAAGACATTGTGACTTTATGCGACTTAAGGCAATTTTAGGCGACTTGAGGACATTTCACTAGAGTGATATAAATTTAAATTTAGCAACAGTCTCTCCATATATCTCTTGCAATAAACCTATATTGTATCAATAGTGGTACATAATTAAGTTACCACAGTCTCAAATATCGTGGGCTGGGTTGTTCAAAACCTTATTAAACTAACCCAGGATTAGAGAGAATTTTGATTTCAGTTTTGTAACTTTTCGGTCCAGTTTTCTGTTTATGTTGTTTGTCTTTCAGTTTTGATCAAGTTTGATTCATCTTAACCTACACAACCATAAGCAGTGAAAGATATTTCTATCCAAACAGTATATATATTACTTTTTGTAACTTTTAACTTTTAAACATTTACTGGTTTTCAAACAACCCAGGTCAGAGGCCCGTTTCTCAAAAGCCACAGAAACTTTTCAGGCCCATAAAGCCATTATTAGTTCATCTGTATCTAGAAATAGAGAAGTGTATATGCCTAAAACTTCTTGTATGAAGGGAACCTCTCTTCACATAAAAGAATATGTGAATAAAACAGCTCTGTAATTGTAAGGTTCAAGACTTTGCTTAATGGCTTTACGGACCTGAAAAGTTTCCAGGGCTTTCGAGAAATGGGCCCCAGATTTCAAACCATTTTTAAAAAAATTCTATTAAAGAAATAATTACCACAACACCGAACAGTTAGTATTATAAGAATAATAATAACAATAAATACCAGCAAGGTAGCATGAATATTAGTGAAGATATCACAACAACCAATATCAAACAAGACTATTAAAAAATATATTCACAGCGACAAAAATTTTAAATTTAAGATATCTTGATTTAATTTGAAAATTATATATTTGTATATTTTCCATAATTCAAACAACAGGGAAATTAACATTAATTTAGCATATTTACATGCATTTATTTTACAATGCTTCCCAAATTATAATCAAAGGGCTCTTAGAGCCAGCTTAGTCATGTTATGACTAATTTGCATTATGCTCTTTGCATGGTTATAGTATATTGGTACAGTTGAACCCTGTTAATTGGAACCCTCAAGGGAAACAACAGTTTAAAATAGTAGGGGTTAAGTTCAAGTAGACTGTAAGACATCATTATTCTTGAGAAAATGTCCATATTCCTCATGGGGATTGGAAATCCAACAGTCTCCTCTGTGGGGGGGAACAGGCATTATCTGGGATCACACATTGTCGATCCATTCCCAAGAACACCAAAACCTAACAAATCACTTTGAACTAATTGCCAATGGCAGAAACTTGGGAAGATTAGAGGTCAGCTTTTGGCACTAGGAGCTCTGGGATGGACTGAGTAACCAACGTGAGCTATGATTGGTCGATGGTTGCCTTTGAAAACCATTGATCAATCAGAGCTCACATTTTGTATCTGAACCATATCTGTAATGGTAAGAGTAAAGTCTGGGTACAAACCAAGTGGCCTATCAGGCCAGAGCTAATATCCCAGCTTCTGTAGCATGAAGTGATTAAGAGTATTTCTACTCCCCCCTGAATGGGATGCAAGTCCATCGCAGAGTTACCCCCAGCACGAAGTTCACCAGTACCAATTTAAACACTTGGGTGGAGGGAGGCACTGTGAGAGTAAAGTGTCTTGCCCAAGAACACTACACAATGTCTCTGGCCAAGGCTCGAACCTGGACCTCTCAATCCAGAGCACACTAACCATGAGGTCACTGTTCCTTCCACCATCCCAGTAATGCCAGTGCCAAAAGCTTGCACTCAGTCTCCCCAAAGTTTTTGTCAAGGACAATAGGTCGCCTAAGAGTAGCAAAATATGAGGGTGTCCGATGCAAAAATCTTAATAGGATACTTGGTGAATTATTAAGGGTATCTAGTTAAATGACAATGCTGTTAAATAGTAATAACTTTTTAATAATCTTTATACTGTAGCATTATTTACATACACTGATCAATAGTGGTTTACAATAAATTCATCTAAGACTAAACAAGAAAAATATACACCAGTACTAGTAAAGTTATTACAATAGCTGAGTTGAGAAGTAATAGGCATAGACAATACACAGACTATCCTCAGATATAGATATTTTTTAATTTTTCTAATATTATGTAAAAGAATGCACTCCTGCAT